TGGATTCGAAAACGGTAAAACTCAACTGTTTAACTCTAGGGGAGTTGGAAAATTAGTCTATTTTCAAAAGTAGTGGAGTGTTCCTTTAACACTGATTTAGGGATCACACTGTGCAATTGATTCTAAACCAAGGCCCGAAATTTATGGGGAATCTTTTTATTTAGAAGACCCCTTTTTATTTAAATGAATTAAATAAAGGATAGCTACACACCAGAGTTGGATGAGATGCATTAATAGGCCTATTTAAAATGCAAAAGGAAAAAAAATGCTTCTCATCTTGTCACATTCAATTATGAAATTTGACAACAAAATCGAGTAGTTTGCATCACATTACGGTTGGTAGTTTAACATTTTTATCGTAAAACATTTGTCAGATGTTTCCTATTTAGTTACTTACATCTTACCTCGCACTCTTTGACCATTGAAAACTGAAGCCATCTCAATCATTTTGACATTGTCGAGCGCCTAGACCACTGAGGCAAAAATATAACATTTTCCCCTCAATGTCTGTAGTAGTTACGGCCCTTTGCTAAACTAAGTCACATACTGGATTTCTTTCTTTTTTAGATTACTGAAGGAATGATTTACATTGAGAATAAAATAGTTCACCGTGATCTGAGAGCCGATAACATTCTGCTTACCGACATGCAATGCTGCAAAATAGCCGATTTTGGACTCGCTGAAATTAATCTCGCTGGAAGCCACAGAATTTCATCAGGTGAGATATTTGATATGTTCGTTCAGGCATGTAAGACATACAAACACAAAGTGCATAACCGTTCTCATCTATCTGCAGATATAAAGGTCCCTGTGAAATGGATGGCCCCTGAGATATTTGAGAACGAGGCTTACACAAGCAAGAGTGACGTCTGGTCTTTCGGCATCCTTTTAACTGAAATCGTGACGTATGGAGATGACCCATACCCTGGTAAACACATTTCACAACCCTAAACATAATACATGTGGTTGTAGTATCACATCTCACCCAACACATCTTTCTTCCACAATCTCAGGGATGGAAAAAATGTCGTGCGTTCGGTCCATTCAGAGAGGAGAGCGGATGGAGAGACCTGCCGGCTGTCCCGAAGCGCTCTATGACATTATGCTGCTGTGCTGGAGGTCAAACCCTGAGGAGAGACCAACATTTACAGAGCTACGGGAGAAGCTGATGGCTCTCATACATGAGCCTGATTCTGAACTGGAGTAGATACTGTAGAAATGAGAGGGCTGAGACACTTTTGAGCTTAGATTATATGTAACCAACACATACAATCACTTATAGTTTACAGAGGTAATATCTACTGAA